AGAGCTTCCTCAATTGCTCAAAGAACAAGATGACTTGCTCATATGGAACCCCTTCTGGTTAGAAATATATACCTTCTAATTGAATAAAACTTGAGATTTTCTCTTTTGCTCTGTTCATTGATATCCAATTTAGTACTGCCAATGCACATTTCTCCTCATCTTTTACTTTTCCTAGACACTGAAGTCATTTTTCTACTTATATCCGAAATATGCATTCCCTATATAAATTGGATGCATTCACATTAAAGATAAGAATGCATTACTTGCTCGAATAAGCCAATAATAATAATAATAAAAAAAGATATGGAATTCCCACAAGAGAACACACTCACTAAATTCAACAAAATCTCTATATATCTCACAAACTAAAAAAATAATAATAATAATAATAATAAATAAAAAAATAGTAAAGAATTTTATTAGTCATTTGAGTGGCCGCGGTACTAAATTCAACAAAATCTCTATATGTAACACCCTGAAAATTAAATACCTAATTTTGGAGATAGTATCATTTAACATTTTCTTTAAATCATAAATGCGGAAGCGACACACACACACACACACACTCTCTCTCTCTCTCTCTCTCTCTTAATAATATATAAGACGATTAAATTAAAACTTAATTTTTTTTCAAAGTGAAATCAAATCTAAACTATATTGGTACTAAATCCGTAACACCACAAGCAGTCATCTTGAATTATCCTGCCTTCATAATCTGAAAATGGGGAGGGATAACGTGGGACGAGCTAATGCTCAATAAGCAATTCCCATGCATCTAATGTATCCTGATGATATGCATATGTATTACTTTAAAACGAAAGGCATTTTTCAATGTGTATCCCCGTTCTTTCATTTCTTTAAAAATATTAATATCGTGAGCTCATTTGATATATCGCCTATTGTTAATCAGAATGCAATGGGCCATGTTATTTGGAACCCGATCGAATTCTACCGATAGTACCACAAAGCGGTTGACATTAACATTAATATTGAACATTCATCATTGAGCATTGGTCGGGTGCACTGATCTTTCACGCCCCATTTTTCACTCACACCTTCATGGCATAGACTTGCATCTCATGACAAAAATATTTGGGATACATATCTTTAAACGTTCATTGAGTCATGATATTTGGAAACATTTTATTCGTTGAAACTTTATGTATGCTTATGGATATATTAACGTGCATAAGTGTGCATGAGTATGCATGAAACATTCATGACATAAAAACGTAATAATTAAACATCATGTTTGTTGGAGATCCTACTATGATTGAGGATATCACTCTTCAATCAAAGTATTCCCATAGCATGACAAAGGCAGTCACGTAATTATAGGAGATTTATTTGTATAGTTTCCATTTCACTGTTCAATCATTGCTTGTATTCCATTTTCACAATTTGTAAAATCTGTATATAAAGCAATGCATGTTATTGCTGAATGCAAGGTGAATTTTAATCATTCTTATGGTATCAGAGCTTAATTGGTCTAGCAGACCATCGATCCTCCTTTTTCTTCTCATGGCTTCTGAATCATCTTCCATCCTTCTTTCCTTTAATACTTTAATCCACATGATCGCCATTAAACTTTCCTCTTCAAATTATCTTCTTTGGAAAAGCCAACTCCCCCATCTTCTTGAGAGTAAAAAATTATTAGGACATGTTGATGGCATCATTGCGCAGTCCCTAAAACTTGACACTGCCACTGGCATGGAAAGTTATTGACCAGCGTCTTCTCAGTCTAGTACTTTCCTTTCTCACCAAGGAAGCTATGGCTGAGGTGGTTGGCCTCTCCACCGCACAAGACGTATGGCTCGCACTGGAAAATACTTTCAGTCATTGCTCTAAGGCCCGAGAATTACGCCTCAAAGATGACTTACAATTAATGAAACGTGACAACAGATTAGTTGTCAAATATGCTCATGCTTTCAAAGCACTCTGTGACCAACTACATGCAATTGTTCGTCCAGTTGATGGTACCAACAAGGTACACTGGTTCCTCCGTGGGCTCAGTAGTGATTTCTCAAGCTTTTCCACAACACAATTGGCCCAAACCCCTCTCTCCTCATTTCCATATTTAGTCTCCAAAGTAGAGAGTTTTGAAATTTTTTAGAAATCCCTTGATTCATCTCTTTCCCCTGTTGTAGCCTTCACTGTCACCAAAAATTCCACCCATCGTGGTAGTTCTTCTCGCAACTATCAGGGTCACTTCAATGGGCATGGCGACAGTCCATCTAGTCATGGACATGGACGTTCCAACTTAGGCCAATGGCGTCGTCCCTCGTGATGCTAGATTTGCAAGATGGATGGCCACTTTACTAATCGATGCCTTAAGTGTTATGATTGAAATGAATTCCCTGCTCATATTGCTGAAGCTTTTACGAGCTTGTGCTCTCTGAATGAAGATTTGGGCCCTGAATGAAGATTTGGATATAGGGGCCTAGGCCCATATGACCATGGATCATTCTAAATTGGATCAATGCACAAATTACATGGGTAAGGATTGTATGGTTGTTGGAAATGGTGCTTCACTACCTATTACCCATATCGGCAAAATTTTCCCTACCCTAAATTTCATCTTCTCGATGTCCTAGTTGTACCTTGCCTTACAAAAATTTTACTTTCCATCAGTAAATTAACATCCGATTTTCCTTTATTTGTCTATTTTACTAATAACCTATTCACTGTGCAGAATCGCAAAACAGGAAGGGTGGTGGCAACCGGCAAGCGTGATGGAGGCTTGTATGTGCTTGAGCGAAGCAATTCTACATTTATTTTGCATATATTTCTATCCTTGAAAATAAATCACTTCATGCATCATATAATTTATATCATGCACGCCTTGGACATCTTAATCATTCTGCCATTTCTCTATTGAATAAAAAGGGCTAGCTTTATCTTACATCTACGTTGCCTTCTCCAACCTTATGTAGCCCATGTCAAATTGCCAAAATTCATCGCTTGCCTTACTCTTGAAATTAACATAGGTCTTCTAAAATATTTGATCTTATCCATTGCGACATTTGGGGTCTCTCTCCCGTCCAACCTAATTCGAGGTTTGTCTATTATGTTCTTTTCATTGATGACTATTCTTGTTTCACGTGGCTCTATCCCTTGAAATTGAAATTCGACTTTTATTATGTTTTTATTCAATTTCAAAAATTTGTGGAAAATCAATACTCTACTCGTATTGAAATTATCCAAAGTGACAGTGGTGCTGAATTTACCAGTAATTTCTTCTAAGATCATCTTCAATCTTGTGGCATTCACTATCAGCTCTCTTGTCCATACAAATTTGCCCAAAATGGTTTCGCAGAAAGAAAACACCGCCACATAACTGAGACGGGATTAGCGTTTCTTTTTCATTTCCACATTTTCCTCATTTTTGGGTTGACGTGTTTAGCACTGTAGCTTACATCATCAACCACTTTCCTACCCCACTTCTTGGAGGTAAATCACCTTTTGAGATTTTGTATAGTAACCCTCCAAACTATGAAAAACTTTTATCATTTTGGTTGTCGTGTGTATCATTGCTTACGTGATTATATGTCTAACAAATTCTCTCCTCACAACACCTCGTTTATTTTTCTGGGTTATAGTTCCTCTTACAAAGGGTTTTGCTACCTCGATGCTTCCACATCTAGGCTCTATATCACTCTCCACGCTCAATTTGATGAAACTTATTTTCCTTCCATTGCTACATCTCAAGCTCAACCTATATACTCCCTTAACTTTTCCCATTTTCTCGAACCTAGCCTCATCCATACAGATGTGCCTTCCCCATCCTCTAATACTAGTTACCCAAAGTTCACTCAATCTCGATCCAATCCATGTATTATGTGTATTAATCAAGTTAATGAGTTTTTGTAGGTCCCTCTTCCTAGCACTCGGTTTCGAGCTCATCTTCTCTTGAACCCAGTACAGATCCTACACTTACAGCAATGGTCCCGTTGACCACTTACCCTATGCTTACGAGAGTGAAAGCTGGCATTTTCTGGACTTGTCATCCGGTAAATCTTAGTTTCTTGAGCACTTCAGTTCTTCTTCCTGCTCTCCTTGCGTTGATTAAGCCTAAAGGTTTCAAATCTGCTAATAAAAATCCTGCTTGGCTTGCAACCATGGATGAAGAAATTCATGCACTACAGAAAAATCACACATAGGTTTTGGTACCTCGCCTTGCCGACACCAACATTGTAGGCTCCAAATGGGTGTTTCGGACTAAGTACTTGCTTGATGGTTCTGTTGAGCGCCTCAAAGCTCGTCTTGTTGCCAAAGGTTATACACAGGTCCCTGGTCTTGACTATACTGATACTTTTAGTCATGTAATAAAGGCTACTACTATTTGAGTTGTGCTTTCTCTTGCCGTCACACAAAAATGGCTCTTTATCAATTTGATGTAAAAAATGCATTCCTCAATGTTATTCTAACTGAACAGGTTTATATGGAACAACCTCTAGAATATATTGATGTTTGCTTTCCAAACCAAGCCCCCGGGGCTTGGTTTCAGCTCCTCATCTCTTTTCTCATTCACCTTGGGTTCTCTTGTAACTGTGCTGACACATATCTATTTGTCTATCATTATAAGTCCAGTATTATCTATTTACTCCTTTATGTTGATGATATAATCATTATAGGCAACAATACTTCACTTCTTACCCACTTCACTCGTCAACTCAACTTTGAGTTTGCCACTAGGGACTTGGGCTCTCTAAACTATTTTCTTGGTCTTGAAGCCACCCAAACTTCCGATGGTCTCTTCATCAGTTAGCTTAAATATGCACGGGACATTCTTACTCGAGCCTAGTTACTTGATAGTAAGCATGTTCACACACCCAAGGTTATTTCTCATCATCCGTCCATCGATGGCTTTCTGTTCTCTGACCCCACTCTCTATAGATCCCTCGTTGAAGCACTTTAGTACTTGACCATCACAATGTCCGACATTGTTCATGCTGTCAGCTCTGTTAGCCAGTTTCTACACACTCCCACCAATGATCACTTTCTGGCTGCTAATCGCATCCTTCGTTATGTTAAAGGCACCATTCACTTTGGCCTACCTTTTCGCCCTTCCTCTTTTCATCGCTAATTCTGATGCTGATTGGACAGGCTGCCCTAACACTCATCGTTCGACCTCGGATCATTCTATTTATCTCAGAGAAATTTAGTTTCACGAAGAGCTAAAAAAAAAATTAACTGACTGTCTCTCGTTCCAACTGCAAATCTGAGTATCGTGCACTTGCCTTCACTACCGGTGAACTCATTTATCTCACACATTTCTTGAATGATCTTAAGGTACCCATACCTCAGCATCCCATTCTCTTGTGTGACAACAAAAGTGCAATCTTCTTAAGGTACAATCAGGTTTCACACAAGCAGGCTAAGCATGTTGAATTGGACTACTTTCATCGTGAACTTGTTGTCATTGGAAAACTTCGAACCCAATATGTCCCATCTCATCTACAGATTGCTGATATTTTTACCAAGAGTGTTCCTCGACCTCTATTTGAGCTCTTTGGTTCCAAGCTTCACGTCGGATCCAATCCGATGCTTAGCTTGCGGGGGTTGCTGGAGATCTTTTAAGGATATAATCCCACATCGAGTAAAGATGATAACATAGACCAGCTTATAAGGACTTGGATTATTCCTCTTAACAAGGTTGACCTTTTAAGATGGAACCCCAAATCTTAACATCTTCCCATAGCATGCCAAAGGCAATCACGTAATCATACGAGATTTACTTTTATAGTTTCCATTTCACTGTTCAGTCATTGCTTGTATTGCATGTTACCACTGAATGCAAGGTAGATTTTAAGCATTCTTAATGTTAATATAATAGCAAATTTATATAACACATTCATACATTTAATAATGTCACGTGTCATGAAGACAAGGAGAGGTTTACTTACCTTAAAAATTTAATTTTTTATATGACAAGTGGAGATGTTCCAAGCCGCCCACAAATTCAATGTGCCAAGAGTCCTAAGTCATAACCATTAATTTTAAACTTTCACATACTAAATATTTATTCTAATTTAAACTACTTTAATACAGTTAGACCTAGCTATTACACTTTATATATTAATGTTTATCAGGCTGCTCTTATTGTAAACACACATAAAACTAAGAGAAATTAATATGAAATGATAAAACACCAGTATTGCCTTAATGGTATAAAATTTGTATTAATGCGCAAAAAAAAAAAAAAAAAATGGGAAGCCAGATCACAGAATTTGGAATTACAATAACATTTGGCACCATTTTTCTTTTGAAGTTACAAACAATTAAATCATATCAACCCATGGTCATGTATACGTAGCTAAATTATTTTGAAATAATAGACAATGCATAAACTCAAATGAATGGAGGGCATATTTGGTAAATTTTATAAAAGTTTACTCATAAGTATTAAAAACTAATAATGTTGACAAGCCCACGCATGAGCCAAGAGATTCTATTTGACATATTTTAAAATGAAGTTGGTATAAATCAAAGTGTGATAACAATACAGCGACTACTAATTTATAACACGCACAGCGTTATAGCCATTGTTATCTAGATTACGATTAAAGAAAAGGTAAAGGGATGAAAGCATAAAAATATATAGACACACATGCATACAGACATTTTATATACATGTGTGAGTGAAATCTATAACATACCACCATACACATGATATGATAAAAGATGCCATGATCTCATTACGTCATTAAACATAAATAGAATCACAAGACGATATTAAAAAAAAAAGAGTAATCACCCTAGTACATTGGGAACAAGAGGCTAATGACTTTATAAGCGCAGAATAAGGAAGAAGCATTCCTTCGATGTTGCACGTTATTTTCCTTGGGACATAAAGAATGAATTTTCTTTTATAAGCAAGAAGATAAGTAATTAGGTAAAAATCTTGGTTTCTAAGTTTATAATAGATAATTAGCATAATTTGTGCTAATTAACTAAATAGCAAATTCATTAAGTTGACTCGTGGGTTGGTTCCATTCCCTCTAAATGTCCAAATATAAATCCAATCAAAATAGCTAGAATCAATTTTAAATTTAAGAAAAGATAAATGTTGCTAAGGTCAAGCCTATGTGTTCAATTTATTTATTTGCAATCTATACCATTATAAGCTGATTATGAAACAATTATCATTCAAAACATAATTATGTTTACTTGAATTATAAGCATATTATAATTAATTTTAATTGACAAGTCAATCATCTAAGACATTCAACATACATTCCATTGCAAAATATAAGGTTAGGGCTACAGCAAAAGTGGATTTTTACATCATGAATTTACGGCATGTCGTGAAAGAAGACTATTTACAGCATGCGTTATATGTATGCCGTAAATAATAAAAAATTTGACGTATTTATGGCGTGCATTTGTGCACGTTGTAAAATGTGAATATTTATGTCATTCTTTTAGGGCATGCCGTGTTTGTTAAAAAAAAAAAAGTGAACTTATTATGGTGTGCATATTGCATGCTGTAAGTACATCGACTTATTACGGTACCCTTTTTTCCCTCTTTTCTTTATCTTTTTTAGGATTTGGGTTCTCTTCCCGCTCTGCTACTTCTACCCTATGTCTCCCCACCCACGTAATTTCTCCCAATGCCCTTCTAAGATCTCGATTCTTGACTTTGGTTTTCACTTTGTAATTTTAGGGGGACGTATTTAATCGAGACTTTTAAAGACTTTTAGAGATTTAAAAAGTTTGAGTGTATTCAATTGAAACTTTTAGAGACTCTCTAAAAGTTTGGGTGTATTCAATAGAGACTTTTATAGACTTTTAAAAAGTCTCCAAAAGTTACGGGGTATTCAATTGAAACTTTTTAGAAGTCTCTACAAGTTTTGAGGTATTCAATTTGGAGGGACTTTCAGGAAATTTAAAATTTCTTGGACTTTCAGAGACTTTTTAATAGAAAATATAAATAGGATTTTTCTCCCAAAATCTCTCATCCATAGAGAGATTTCTAAAAAGAGTATGCTATTCTTATTTCCCTCTAGGTTTTTCCTCTATCTCTTCCAATTAGGTATTTCTTTGAATCTTTGCTATGAGTTTTCTTCAAATCAGGTTATGGTAAATTTTCACTAGTTGATCTCTATCTCTCCCTCTAATTTCAAAGATTCGTTTTTGTGAATGTTGTGAATTCTCATAAATATTCTTCGATATCTCACATTTAACACTGCGAAAAGCATATTTCCTTAAAAAAAAATAATAATAAATAAATAAAATTCCTCAAAAGTCTTTAGTAAAAGTCTCCACAAATCCAGAAAAAACTTTTACTAATTCCTACCAAATCCATAAAAATTACTTAAAATTTGACAAAGTCCACAAAAGTCACCCACTTAAAAAAGTCTCCAAAAGTCTTTAAAAATCCCAATTGAATACAACCGCCCTTGGTAACACAGTTGGTGGATTCCAAGAGGAAATACTCTTAGGGTTTTAATGATTAATGAAACTGAATTTGGGTTTTGTAATCTTTGAGTGTTAAATTGGGACCTCCCGGATTCATGAAGGCATTAGGTTCGGGGTAGGGTTGACCTACCTGTTTCCCAATGTATACTTCTCTTTTAATACGCGCCATCTGCGTTTTGTGGAAGGTCGGAATTTTTTTCGTGGTTTTGGTTATTTTTTTTTTTATTTTAATATTGTAATATTTTGTTGCTTTGTCTTTGATGAACTTTCAACTGGCGAAACAAGATGATTATTTTGATTATTACGAAAATAGTAGTCAGCATGAGAGCAAAGATAGCCAAGGTATGCTCTTTGTTTGTTCCAAACCATAATTTTCATTAGTTTCTCATATTATTTTTGAGTTGAATTTCTATAATCTACATTAAATTTTGATAAATGCCGGACTTTTAGTAAACTTTACACTGTCTTTCCTAGTCACTTATCCACTGGTCCACAAAGTATTTGGTTAAGTTTTAGCTATTTCAATGAATGTTTTTGTGAAATTCGACAAGTATGTAGCATTTGGTGATTTTTGCATGTTGGCTTTCTGTATTTTAAGTAGGTGACAAGTATCTTGCTTTGATGCTCAAATTTTCCTTGAAGAACTATTCGTTGTTGACGGATCCACAAGGTCAAGCCATAGCAATGTAAGGATTTTTCTTTTAGATATTAGTTGTTTCCCAGCTTTCTTTTAATGGGTGCATTTTATCTGAGTTTTTATAGACATGTAAGATATATTTTTTCTTTTCTTATTTATATATTTGATTGTTTGCAGTGCAATAAATATGATTTTTTTGACGATGCGAATCCGCTCTTAGCCAAATGATGTTAAAAGCATAGGATAATATTTGGTTTGATTCCTAACTTGAATTATGGTGGAATCAATGGATTTTTCCCTTTCTTTTATCATCCTCTTGTTTTAACCTTTTGAACAAGATTTTTTTACTTATTTTTGGACTCCAACAAATGAAGAGTTATTCCAAATAAATGTAGGATCTGCCATACTTGAAGCCTTCATCTAATTTATAGTGTTCTGAGGAGAAAAGCTTTTAGGTTTATGCACTAAGTATATGATCATTTAGAGTGGGTGAAGTGTACAAAGTATGCAAATAAAGTTAAATATTGTTGGATTCCTTCAAGCATCTTGGATTTTCTTTCTTTAACTTATTGGATTATTGTCTTCCTTCACTTTTTATGTACTATGAAGAATTGTTGTTCAATTGAGGTGTTGATTTTAAAGAGATTGTGACCTTCAAGCTAGCCAAATCTGAAGGATTATCCTTAACAAGTGTAGTCTAGGATTTAGAATAAATAACTGTAATTTTTAATTATTGACAAATATTTAAAAATTTTATTTGATCTACAAGTAAATCTTAATGCCTCTTTTTTTTTTTCACTAACATTTTCATCACACAAGAAGTTGCTAATTAATTATCTACCATTATGAAATTCAGATTTCCTTCTTTTTGTTTATTCTTCTATGCAGGACAATTACGTGTTTGAAGTCCCAGATAGTTAAAAATTGAAGATTATGACAAGAAATTCAGGTTTCTGTATTTACATTATGAGCATGTTTGAGCCACATTATAATGAGAATGAGAATGAGAAATAGAGCCGTTATGGGCCCCACACCAGAGATAGAAATTCAAAAATTGTGGCTTGATGTGATGGATAACGGTCATATTTTTCATTTTAATGAGGTAAAAATGAGGCTCAAACAGGGGCTATATAATTTGATGTATTTGGTGCATATAGTTTCTATTTTTGCTGACTTTTGTCATTTAATTTTATATTAGAATATCCTTTTTTTTTTTTTAACATTTAAGTCACGTGGTCCATTAATCATTCTTGTGATTCATTTGAGCTTCTCAAACCCATATGCAGATTATATTTTTCTCTTTTACATTCTTCCGCTTCTTTTGGATTTGTTTGAAGGATATAGTCATGAAATATTATCTACAAGGCATACTTGTTCTGTGCAACTGCTTTTTTAAGTATGTAAGTATTTGTGTGTGTTCTTTAGAATATTATTTTATAGTTTGTCTTAGTCTATAATTAAGAGATGTGTAAGATGTATAGGTGATGACTTTCAATGCTATTGCTATGCTGGTTCAAGATTTTGATGCAATCGTGAACAAGTTAATTGAGATTATTTTTTGCTTCTGTTATTTATGTTAATTATGTCAACAATGCAAGAAGTTCAATGTACAAAAGTTCATTCATTTTTTACTGTGTTGTATAATCGTTACTAGAATCAAAAGAAATAAATTATTTTTGAATCAAAATTAGAATTCTGACAATGAATATAAGTTATCAATTTTTCTTTCTTCAAACACTTTACTTGAGGAAATTCTCTTTTAATTGGAACATAATTTATGGTTTTGAATATATCATTTTGTGCCTTGAACATTCTATGCTATTACATAGTCAACTACACTATAGCATGTGCCTTGCTCATGCATCTCACTAGTATATGATATATGTTTGGATTAATTTTTTCATCTAAGTTTAGAATAATTAATTAGCTTAATATTGTTTATCATGCTAGCTTGTACTCAAAAATATTTTAATTTTCATCCGAGTTGAGTTGGAATTGGATTTGTGTAATTATTATAGGTGCTGGTAATCAAATAAATAAATAGATTTTTAAAAATTAATTAATATTTACGACTAACAGGGTCATCTTTCACGACGTGCGACTGGACACCGTTAAAAGAAAAAACTCACATTTACGAAGTGCAGGCGCATGCCATTAAAAGTAAAGCGCGCACGCCGTAAAAAATTGTATAACTAATAACGGCGTTCGTAAAAGATGTACATTGCACGCCATAAAAAGTGGACGCTTTTTACGGTATTGCTTATACAGCATGCAGTCACATTGCGTGCCGTAAAAAGTAGACACTTTTTACCGCATTGATTTATACGGGTGCGTCTGCACGCCATAAAAACAATCCTTTTTGTTGTAGTGTAGCTGCAACCCGATGACAAATTTAATGATTCTATAGTCAATATAACATAAATTTAACTAATTAAGATATGGAATTCGCAATTTAAGTACATAATACGTTCCTCTATATTGTTCTTCACTATAGTATTAAAAAGAAGCAAATTTTACAAAATCTGCGAGTATAAAAATCAAAATCCACCTAAAATAATTAAGATCCAATGTGATAATACAATAATCTCAAAATTGCTACAATTAAGAAATAATCACCGACCTAACCAAGTGTTAATGGTCCATAAACCATCATTCTAATTGATTATAAATCTCGTAAATTCACAGTGAAAAAACACGCATTTGAAGATTATATTTGTGAATAATCAAGGGCCGCAGTTGATGAAAGTGAAACAATAAACACAAATTTGATGGAATTTTGAAGTAAACAACAAAATTTGTTGGTGCCCACTACGTGAGAACAGGCAAAATGAAAATCACTACCGTTTCTAACTCTCGAATTGTGCAAAAAATTACTCAAGAAACAAATTCTATAGTTTTTTACGAGATGAACCCCAAACTTAGAAGAAAGAATTTTCAAATCTAGAAAGAAGAAAGAGAAAAATCAAGGTAAGGAATGACAAGAAACGAATATTCTAAAAACCAAAAGGAACAGTTTATGATATTTCCAACCGTCCCCCGACTCAAAAAACTAATGGCTAAGCTGATAAAAAAACCTGGCTTGTGAATAGTATATGACATCCGCCTCTTTTACTTTTAGTTAGAAGAAGTTGATTATATATAATATACGTCTTTTTGTACGATCAGATCAGATCGTAGGATTGTGTACATTTGAACTTCTAAAAATAGAAGCTTATGTAAAATAACAAAGTGAATATCCATTAGTCATTCTCCTTTACAAGAATCAAAGAAGGGAAAATGAGAGGAATTTTATGTTTCGCAATGCCTCATGCGATCAACCTACTATTAATTTGAGAAGAGACTTGCCCTCTTTTTGATCATTAAGCAACTTCCATGTATTGAAACATTTAATCGAACTATTCGATAAACCATACAACCCTTTAATCGTTGCATCTATATTATACTATCAATCAAGATTTGTCATTATTTTTTTTTCTCGAATTGCAATGATTAGATCTAAATGTCACTGTACTCTTATTGACGACTCTCATGGTTGATATGAAAAATTTCCTTGACACCTCTAAATTTTGCCCTCCGGGGCACATTCCAACTGGCTAAGGATGAAGTTCTTCAAGGCGGACAATTTAGAGGTCGCGGTTCGATTTATGGGGCTTTTGGAAGGCAAAACTTTCTTCTGGAAGGCAGGAGTTCCTTGGAAGGCAAGGCGCATACATGAGTTTGAATCGCTTGACATTTTGGCAGTTCAGTTGGGGGGAGGGCTTTTGGACCCTGGCCAGTTTGGGGCACAACCCGCGGTTTATCTGATCTGCGTGAAGAGGGGCTGGATCGTAGACCCCAGGATTAGTCGCTGTAAGGTGGACACCTGTATATAAAAAAAAAAAATTTAATCAAAATTTTCATTTAATCTTTTTCCTCCACATAATATTATGTAATGCATTATGTACATTTTTTATGTACAAATAGCAAAATACTTAAAAAATGTTATATCCACACCCTATCAAGCCCAAGGTGAAGCTCAAGCCCAAGGTGAGGCCCAAGACCATATTCAGAACACGGGCTTCAACCCATCACGGCCCTCTTTTTATATTGCCTCTAGGGTTTACTCTTCAGCCTATCCATTTCCCAGAAGAGCAGAGAGAGGAGCAAATCTCGGCGGCAATGGTGAAGTTTCTGAAACCAAACAAGGCGGTGATAATCCTTCAGGGGCGGTACGCCGGCCGGAAGGCGGTGATCATTCGCAACTTCGATGATGGTACCCGCGACCGCGCTTACGGACACTGCCTGGTGGCCGGTCTAGCCAAGTACCCGCGCAAGGTGATCCGTAAGGACTCTGCCAAGAAACAGGCTAAGAAATCACGCGTCAAGTGCTTTATCAAGCTGGTGAACTACAACCACATTATGCCGACTCGTTACACCCTCGATGTGGACCTGAAGGACGTGTTATCTCTCGAATCCCTCCAGTCCAGGGACAAGAAGGTGACTGCCGCTAAGGAAGCCAAGGCACGGTTCGAGGAGCGGTTCAAGACTGGGAAAAACCGCTGGTTCTTCACCAAGCTCAGGTTCTGAGGAGGACATTCTGGTAATTTTAATTTGGATCTAGTAGTAGTGCTTCGGAAAAGACTGTTTTTTGTTTTGTTATATTTGAGAAATGACTCTGCATTGAAGTTGATGTTTATTTCAAAGTTACTCCTCTTAGAACTGTTTATGCTGAGAAACTTATCTGGTATCCTCTTTATGTTCAATCGATATGCTGGCTCCGATTAGAATTTTATTCGTTTTTGTTATAGTTCGAGGAATGATTGGTGCACTTTGTCATATTTGGAAACTTCCCTGAAATGCGTTTCTTTAATTCTTCTTTTAGGATTTTAGGATTCGTTCTTTTCAATAGCTATTGATATTGAAATTTGCTAAATGTCTTGCTTAGTATAGATCTGTGTGGATTATGACCAACAGTTTGCGCATTGATTGCCAAATTCTGAATATTAGCTGCTAATGTTTTTTGCTGTTATCTGATTTTCGTAGCTGTAAATTGCTGTTCTATGATGAAACTTTGTTGATTTTCATTAAGTTTCGTACTGATAGCAGAATGATGATCTGCAATGTGCAGAAATGTTTTCACATTGTTTACCACACTGGTACAATTAAGCTCATGCTCAATAATCATCATTAGTAAAACTACACTAGTTCATTTTCACTTGATTCCATAGCATTGCATGATGCACATATACAATTAAGGTCGTGGTCAATGAATTTCGTTCATTTAAGTACATTATGAGTTCATTACCACTGGATTTATAACTCTCTGAATATTTACATTATCGAAACAGTTTATCTTACAAAATTTTACTCCACACTTTCTAACTGACAGATCCATTATACACCAATACTCTGTGAGAAACGATGAGACATATAATGGGCATTTTGGGTTTATTTGCACTTTATATTGGTCATGTCTATCCTAATAGCATGTTATGTTGACACATCTTCAGAAAAATTAGTCCAGTATAACATATATTAGGGATGACAACGAGATAGATTTGGTGGTGCCCTGTACCTATCCCGTTACCCGTTTAAGGAGATGCAGGGCAAGGTTGGGCAAGTCGGGTCTGGGCCCTTGTCCTGTTTACGTGCCTGTTTAAATTTTTTTTCCTTTCTTTTTTTGATAATTCATTTGATTACTTCCATTTATTAAAGCGAGACAATAATATAATTATTAAAAATTTTAATTAGTTAATTTATTTTTAAAAGTTAAATTATTCGAATATATTTGATAAGCTAATATTTTTATTGTTTATTATATTCTTTAGATAGTCTTAGTTGTCATTTTTTATTAGAATTAATGAAATTTCATGAAGTTTTTTATTTAAAGTATTGAATTCTTAAAAAAAACAAAAAATTAAATGGGAAGGGGTGGGCCTTGAGGCGAAATCTTCCGTCTCGTACCTGACCCAAATGCTAGATTAAGCAGGTAATTCCCGCCCTCGTTCAGGGTGGGGGGCCTCGTGGGTATCGAGTGTTACGGATTTTTTTGTCATCTCTAACATAAATACTCATGATGATCAAAATCATGAATGATTGTCGTCATTTTTGTAAAATTGTTCTGGTTTGTGGGCACAATTTTTTGAGCCAACATAGATAGGTTAACGTGTGGGGCCTGATCTATTTAGAATGGGCTGCTACCGAGTCGAGTTTGATAGACGCAAGCATAACTAACGCAGTTGGACGTGATCAAACACAGTCAAAGGTAGTATGGTAGATGTACTTGTAATTTGAATATAACTTTTTCTTCACTCACAATACGTTGTGAAGTAGATAATAAAGCTTAGATTTTTACCTCTAGATTACAAAATGATAAATAAAATGATTTGATTTCATGCATCCTATTGGTAAACTCAAATATATTCTATCGATTTTGTTCAATCATTTGAAAAGAAATAGTCACTCTTGCAAGAGACTTTAGTTTCTTCTAATGTATTAATTGCAAGTTTAGTTTTTCATGTCTAAAACAATGGTTGAAAGAAAGTTTTCTAAGCAAAGGAATGAAAGAAAGAGCATCAACATGTTCAAACCTCCACCCGGATAGCAAAATCTACTAGTAGCTAATAAATTTGAATAGCCTTCTCATTGAATCATAACTCGCTAATGTGATATCTTTGAAGAGAATCTCCTTTAGATTGGGTAAGGGAATCATATATGGGACGTGTAAATTTAAAGACCCTACTAGTTTCAAGACAATCGGTGATATGGAATTCAGATAATAATATTCCAGTGACTTTGCCTTTTCTCACACAAATAACGACCTGTTTAAAATTTTGCCATATTGCAGCGCATACTAGAGTTTTGATTGCAGAATCATTAAAATCAGGGAAAGTTGCAGCAGCGGTACCAAACCTTTCGTTTATTAGTAGGCTTTGCCCAAACTTTCATTTTGTGCCAGCGAAGGTTCAAAACCTTTCATAATATGCAATAGAAGTCCAGATGGATGGAATCCATCCATTTCACCGTTAGTTGATCAAAGAACTGACTTTGACTCCAATTTTGACCATATTAGTAAGGGCAAAATAGTAACTTGCATATCATCCCATTAATTAAATAAGTTAAATAGATAAACCATAAATAAAAAAAAATGAACGAAAGAAAATGTTAGGATCGGATTGTGATCGTGAATTTTAGAGAGAGAGAATGAATGCTGTTGGAAGGCAGAGATCTGGGGCATCATCGACTGTGCACCACCAGCGGCAGTACTCCGATAATTTTCTAGAATCATCATCAAACGACCGATGGCTCCAATCAGCTGGTCTTCAGCATCTGCAGTCATCTAACAATGCAGTTCCTCCACTTCAGGTGCAGTTCTATTTTTCTGCGTTTCTTGTTGACCACATATATGCTAGATCTGAATATCTGACGTTGAGATGGAAAAATTTTCGACTTTTTATTTTTGAATTTTTTTTGAATTTTTTAAAATTAGGATTTTGGATACCATGATGGAGGGGGTCAGGACTCGAGAATGTCTAGGAGCGTGCAAGCGTAGAGGACTTACAGTGGAAGAAGTGATTTGTTTGCTGAACCATTGACGCCACCACTAAATTCATGGTCGGGAAGTCAGAGAAAGAACGGGGAGGAGCAGGTTTCGCCAAATGAGTATAATCCAGGGCTCTTGGATCTGCATTCTCTATAAGTACACCAGTTCGAAGGTGGTGCTGGTTTCGATTTCGAGGCGAAGTCGTGCTCGCATCGATTTCTTATTTTGGTTCCATTTAGCAGTGAATAAGAAGGTAGCCGAGGTGGTGGAGGTTGTGGAATTGATGGGGGCCGACGGATTTGGGCGGAGATGGGCAGCTGGGGTTGGGTAGTCGACAGCTTCAGATTATGGTCGGGGTGAGGTGGGGGTGCAGTCAGGGAAGAAGATGAAGATTGACTATTTTCTTTTTTTCATTTTTTTAGTTTAATTTAATTGTTAATAATATAGAAAAATAATGTTAATTCTAAATATACCATTTTACCCTTTCTAATTCAGTCAAAATTAGTCAAAATTCAATTTTATTGGTCAACTAACGGTCAAATGGACAGATTCCATCTATCTGGACTTCGGCTGCATATTTATGAAAGGTTTGAGACCTTTGCTGGCACAAACTAAAGGTTTGGACAAAGTCTGCTAATAAATGAAAGGTTTGGTACCTCGACTGCAATTTTCCCTTAAAATCATGAAATAAATATTAGTGTCAGAATCAGCGACATAATGGTTGATATAATGCGACGTGGTGTTTTATTATTAAATTGTTTAAAACACAGTCATTTTTATCATCAAATTATTTTTCCCTGAATAGGATTCTGTCAACCCTTATGTCATAATTTTTCTGACAAAGAAGTTTAATCCTTTATGCTTTATTTTCTCTCTTTACCCTCCTCTTGATGATCGCATAACGATGTCATTTTGACATGTGTAGGCAAATAGGTATTTTTTGATTTTCTTTCTCTCTCCCTTTTGGCACTCCACAAGCTGTCCTATTTACCACACGCAAATCTTTCACTCTATTGCAGAAATCCATTCGAATCACTTTCTCTCTTTAATCATCCTCTCATCTCTTCTCGCTTCTTAATTGCAGCCTTAACAGACATGATGTGGCAGCAATGAGCAAAAAGAAAGGTGAAGTAAGAAAATGGGAAGTCCACCTACATCAATTTTTATTTTTTAAACGTTGCTGCAGAAGTCATATTAGAAAAAATATGAGTAAAATTTAATGTTTCAACTATATTAATCATACTTCCTTTATCTTTGTACTAATGGAAGGAAGACTATATTTGTGAGATGGAGGGATTATAAGTTTTTACTATTTTCCTTTACTTCTCTTATCTTTTCTTTCCAAAAAGGTTTGATTTTTGTTTAATGAATCTTAGTTCATGTTCTTTCAAATTTTCCCTTCTTGTAGTCATGAACAAGATAGAATTTTTGAACTGTCTTAAAATTTTTGGCTTTCTAAAAAAGGAAGAGTGAAATTTGAAATATTTGTCAAGTATTTGGGTTCCATCTTAAAAGCTCATCCTTAGCCCTTATTTGAGCCACATTATTGGAATGAAAATATATTTTTGAATAGTATATTGATGAGAAATGTGTGGTTAAAAAATAAGGAAATATTTTGAATTTGCGTGTAATATTATTTTATTAAAGAATGTGTGGTTGAAACGATATTAAATCACTGTTGAAAAATATATTTTTTCAAATAATATGGCTCAAACAAGGCCTTATTAAGAGGAGTAGCCAAATCCTTTATAAGTTAGTCTATATTTTCATCTTTAATCGATGTGAAATTTTATTTCTTAACATTTCTCAGTATAATGGTAGCTCGTTTTGAGCAGACCAATCTTGAAATCTGCATACTCATTTAGTGAGTCTTAATCAGATCAAATTGCTCGTTGGAACTTTATGGGCTCTGATATTATATTAAAATTTGGAGTTCCATCTTAAAAGGTCGATCTTATTAAGAGAAGTAGTCCAATCCTTTATAAATTGGTCTATATTTTCCTCTTTAATCGATGTGGAATTTTCCTCCTTAACAATATTTGTAATTTCAACTTTCATCTCAACTTTCCTGCTTCTCTGGTGTGTGCATAAAATGTTTATATGGTTTTTGCACCTGCACGTGGGCTGCTTTTAGTGTTTCAACTATATTAATCATGATATTAACATACTTAAACTAGACATGCATTGCTTTTGTTGACAAATAGATGCAAGTGGCTGCCTTGACTTCATAAATGATAACACTTTCTTTGATCAAAATAACTCAATCGCATAGATAAGTACTAGACGCACATCTCCACTTGTTGCATGTAAGAAATCCCTTTTGGGACTTAAAAATTTCACTATCAAGGACTCATGCACATTTCTCCACTTCAACATCTAGTAAATAAAAATTTCACTTACAACAATCTTCCATATAAATATTGGGATTTAAAGCTTAACATGAAGTAATCTCATCTCAATCCAAATAAACACGTAGTGGCACGTAAAAGTTCACGTGCGATTAAAATTTATAACTTGCCTCCAAACAATTTTTCTAAAAAATTGAACAAGTACTTAATTATTGGAGTACAAATACCACATCCTCGTAGGTAAAATGGCTTCTTTGGCACAAAACATCAAAGACTTAAGGGGTAATACATCCTAACTCAGATAATCATGCCTTGTAACACCTAAACAGCTTTCATGTAAAGAAGACATATCTTACCTCTATACCTATATAAATTATATAAAATATTTTAGAATATATATATACATATATTCATGGTCACACACCCACATATAATCTGATTTTATTTTTTTATTTTTTGCTATTTTTCATTTCCATTGTGTCTGAATAATCTGTTAATAATGACCTTAACTTAAAATATGAGCTAGTACATTTGAAGATTATAACAATATATTAATTAACCTAATGTAAATAATAGAAAATTAAGTAAACATGTATTAATAGTCCATAATCCGTGCCAATAAACAATGCCTTAAGTCATGATTACACTTCTCGGCACATGGGAAAAGTCTATGAATATTAAATTCTAAAAGTTTTTGGATAGTTTTATGCTTCGTGCTCACTTTTTGATCGAGTTTTGGGGTTTAGACAATGGCGATCTTTGGCAAACTTTATACCCTTTTTTGAAAGTATGCACTATGAGCTTCGCAACTAATAAACATGCAAGACCAACTTATAGCTAAAAAGATCACGCAATCATCCAAAAAATGGCTGCTCGATGACCAAGATTAAACACATAAAAAGTTTCAGCAATTCCAGATTTTTTGTGCTCAACTTTGGCATCAGTTTTGGAGGCTTAGACGTTGGCGATCTTTGGCAAATCGATTTTGTTTTGATATTCTATTTTGGATGAAATGAGTGAATTGCATGGTATATGAACCATGTAAATATGGAAAATTGCAGCAGCAGTTCTTAATCTTTTCATTTTTTGCAGACTTTACCCTAATCTTTATTTTGTGTTAGTGGATGTTCTTAACCTTTCATAAATATGTATTTGAGGTCCATTTGGACGGAAATTGTCCAAAACACCGTCAATTGACCAGAAAAATTAAGGAATCAACATCCAATAAAATCGTCCAAAATACTGTCAAAAAACACCGTCCAAAAATATATCAACATCCAATAAAATCGTCGCGATAAAAGGTAGTTCAAGGAATTTTTCAGTCAACTAATGGTTTTTTGGATGATTTTCATCTAGATGGACCTCAGGTACATATTTATAAAATGTTAAGGACCTTCGTTGGTACAAAATGAACGTTAGGGTAAAATTTGTAAAAAACAAAAATGTTAGAAATCGCTGTTGCAATTATCCCTATAAATATCGATAAGATTAACTAGCAACTCGCTCAAAATCAAGTTTGACTCTGTCAACAGAGTCGGCCTTCAAACAGTGAGAATTGTGCTAGAAATATCTCACTCAAGTTTAATTGTGAATGGAAAAAAGAAGAAGAAGAATAATGCTATTTGCAATCGTTTATTATCGCAGTCGTCATACTTGTTATATATGTGTCAGTTAGTGATTTAATGCATAAAGCAATAAAAAATTATCACATTAATATATCAAATCAGTAACTGCTACATGTATGTCACGTAGGACGACTACGACCGTGAGCGATTACAAATAGCATTACTAAAAAAAAAATTATTTTATTTATTATGAATAGCTTTAAACAACAGTTACTGAATTCGGACCCATCTGACCTTTTGTCCATTTGAATGGATATCATCTGCTAAATGACAATCTATTTACTGTGCATACCCTAACGCGACCGCAGACGACCTCATTTCCGGGGTCACAAGAAACAAAACGATAATTGACGCAAATGGCCTCTAACCTATGAAGTTGCAGTGCAAATAACGGCAGCACAACGATCTGCGTCAATTTTCTGAAATAAACTACAAGAAAATAGAAAAATATGGTATTAGATCACATAGAACAGGCCCTTGTATGCAGACTATTCTCGACTAAGTTATAGGATATATTGAAAATAAATTAGGCACTTCATCATGTGACATTAACTTATTTATGATATTAAATTTCAACGGTTGGTGAAATTCGGCACTACATGATCATCTCTATTTCCCCCTAATGCAAACAAGTAAACCCTGAAAGGTCGAGGATAACGTAGACCAATTCAAGACGTACTCTACTTACCTCAAATAGCAAATCTCTCTCTCTCTCTCTCTTCTGTCCAGATTTTAGCTATAAATAGAGGCTTGACACACCAAAATACTCATTAAGAAGAAGTATAACAAAATTCAGTATGCATAAGTTGGAGAGAAAAATGGGCTCCGAGACAATTACTTTTTGCATTTTCTCGGCTGTGGTTCTTCTGCTTACATCAAAAGCGACAGCAAGAAGTCGTAAGTTCTGTCTTTTATAAATTTGTTTTATGATGAGCATAAATTAATATAGTATACATGTATTAATGGCTAACATGAATTGTTAATGTTTTAATTTGTTAATGAAGAGATTTGGCCAGGACCCGGAGGTTCGTGGCCTGGCGGCTATCCTGGAGGCTATCCAGGAGGGTATCCTGGAGGTGGAGGTTATCCTCCAGGCTATACAAAAGAAGGTTCGTCCGGAGGTGGAGGAGGCAGCGAAAATACTGGTGGAATGAGGGATGCACTACCTTAAATTAAGCCTCCCAGCTGAATCCAGTTCGACAGAGTGTAGCATTTACGCGTTATATATACAACTTCGTGGATGAATATGATGCCAATAAATATATAAATTTAGTAGTGGTTTGTGTGTAATGTTGTATAATATTTGCTGTCTTAATTATGTAATGTGCACTAGCATATATTGAATAATGATGAAGTTAAATATGTTGGAGTATGAATGAAGAAATTATATCATTGCTCTTGAAATGATATAGAACGAAGAAATTAAAACAAAATTTGAATTTCATAAGTTGGTTGAGTTAAAAGATATTATCTTTTAACTTCTTTTGCAAATAGCCGTAATATCTTTTAACTTCTTTTGGAAATAGCCGTGCCTTTTAATTTGAATAATTTTTCTTTGCCAAAACTTGTATCCCTTCTCCAATTATTTTAATCCTTTCTTGTTTCATAACTTATTCATGAAAAAAATTCACATTTTCTGGAAAAATTTGTTATACAGACATTCCACATTCCGTAAAGTGTGTTTAACACAATGATAAATACGAAGTTAATTTTATTGATTTCCTTTTATGTGTGTGCTAATATATGTACTTTAGTGTCAACTAATTACTATACCCATTTTTATAAATATAATATATGTACTTCAGTGTCAACTAACTAGTATACCCATTTTTTCATTTTATAGAATTAATTTATATACTCCTAATAAGTGTAAAATTTACACTTATCTAAGCCACCAAATGGGCATTTGTTAGTATTATTGTGAATTTGATGCTTAATTATTTATATTTTTGGATTATGTTAGGAGAAAACTCGAGATCAGAGCAAATATAGATAAAGAAATATGAAATTGAATAAAATTTGCTGCTTTGGGGAGCAAATTTCACTCTTTAAAAATTGAAGGGCTTAAATTGAATTAAAGAGGACATGGATTGCACAAATTAATTTTTATCAAGAACTAAATTACAGTATTTGGAAGAAATGAGCCCTTGAGAGAAATAATACATTAATTGGGGGCCTTGACCCAATTGTTAAAGTGGAATGAAGTCTATCCCACTTGGTCCTCATTTTGTGGAAATGAAAATGGGT